GAAACGTCAGCCTTCCTGCTCCTCTGATGCTGTTGGCCTGCTGTGTTCATCCAGCTCTGCACCTTGTTATCTCAGATTCTCCAGCATCTGCAGTTCCTGCTATCATTAAAAGAGCAGAATCAGGTTATGGTCATCTAATTTTCATTCCTTCCCAGCTATGGATGACAGAGGAAACATCCTTTCAATACGAAGATTATCAGTACAAAATTAGCATAGTGGCCAAAACCCTGAAAAGGTGGTGTTCCACCATTGATATAACAGTGAATTTCTGGACTTCAGCTCATCAATAAAACAGAGGTTTCCTGGTTTCAAGCCTAGCTAGCTGCAGTTAGTGGTACAACATGTAAGGTGTGGTGAATGTGGTAATGCACAGTGAGGATACATTATGGGTATTCAAGGAAGGTGAACTACAACCCAATTCTCCCTCTAATCCTCTCCATCTCTCCTTCCTCCCAAAAATATAATGCTTTATAAAAGACTTTAGGCTCTTATCCTAATATCTTTCTACGTGGCTCAGTGACCAACTTTACCTCATTGTCACTCATGAAGTGTCTTGAGATATTTTATTATCTAAAAAAATGCTACATAAATAGAAGTTGTTGTTCTTGGAAAGTCTCATTCATCGAGAGCCACAAAATATGACAATCATTTGATCCATCAAGTTGAAATCAACTCTCTGTAGAGCAATCCAATTCCACCATCCTATCCTGGTGGCCCTGCAAGTTTATTTCTCTTAAATGCCAATTAGACTTCATTGTAAAACCATTAATCGTCTTTAATACCACAAACCTCCGAGGTAGAGATTTCCTGGTCATTACTAATTGCTTGTTAAAAAATAGTCCTTGCTCGGGAAAACAAACAAAATATTATTTTGTGTTGTGTCCAACAGAGAAACTCGAGACAATCAGCCAAAAATCTTTCCCAGTACTTAAAATCATTACTTAATTGATGTCCTTCTCGTCCCTCTGGAGTTGTTAATTCTTTGTTGAAATATAATTGCCCCAGGCAGGGATAATCCTCGAAGTAACCGTTATTCACTTTTGACCTATGACAAGCATCAAACTCTTGGAGAAAACCACAGTTGAACCAGAAGTTTCACTTACCTGACTATCCACAAATTAACACTGCCAATAGGAATTAGGCTGGCTAAGAATGAACAATGGGTACCCTGGCCAAATCCATCATCCCACCTCCAATCTTTAACAAAGGAACACTGTTGGTCATCTGTCACACCATGAAACTGAACATTTCAGAACCAAGATGGATATTTGTTTGCCAAGGATAACTGAGGAATATGGAAACAATGTGGGTAGATGGAGTTAAGATATCAATCAGACATGATCTAAGTGAAAAGTGTCAGAGGTTTGATGAGCTGAATGACCATGGGGAAAATTCTTGTTAGGAAAGAAAATGTCCTTTTACTCTCCTGCCAGTACTGCCTCGGGCTTTCTACAAGGGAAAGCAAGTAATACAGCCCAAGTCTGTAAATTGGGACAGGAAGAAAACCAAAAGAGAAATAGTTCAACAGTATAAAACTCATTAAGCGCCAAAAATTAAAGGACAGAAAAACACAGTTTACAAAGGCAAGTTAGAAAATGGTATATCTAAACACTGTACTTTTAATAAAATTTATACAAAAACATAAAACTATGTTGAATAATATTTTTTGTCAATTACTACACTTCAGGCAGTGATTTTAACGTTTCACAGTATTCTAAAGAACTTTCAACCAAGGTTGAAACCTAGAACCATTAAGATCCCCTGTCAGATTGACTTCAAGACTCAAACCAAGATGAGAGGTTATTTTAACCCTTCGAGCACTGAAAAAAACTCTCTGACCCTTCAAGATACATGTATCGCATTGTAGAACATGCTTCAGCAAGTGCACTGCAAAAATCTGAAAGATGTGGATCATGACTTTGCACACATTTGTAATACTCATTAAACATAATACTCATGGTTTTATTAAAATTTTGGTGCACAGATGCTCAATGGGTTAAATTAGCCAAATTAATTTCTATATATTAGCATTTGATTTTTTTTAAAGTACCTAACAGTCACCTTGTTAATATATCTCTGCATATCGTTAAAGCAATAAACTCTGTTTGAATAAGAGCCAATAGCTCAGTTTAACAAACTCAAAATTTACTTTTCTCTTATAGAAAGTAAAATTTTTGAACCATTAATTTAGAGGTGCATGCACATGTAGGCACAGAATTTCGACAACCTTTTTCTTTCCTCCAGCTTTAGAACTGCTCGTCCTTTCAACTGGAACAGGCTGGCAAATTGAGCCGAACTTATTTACACATTCTCCTTCATTCTCACACATTCTTCACACAGCACCCCCTCCCCCGACACCCCACCCCACATCCACACTTGCCTTGCTCCAGAGAAAGCGCAACAGTAGGTAACACAGTATCCTGCACAGAAATCTACTTAATATGCATTTCGTGGAAACAGACCGTTAAAACAGGAGGGCTACACAACGCAATTCTTCCTTAGTGTGAACACAGCCTCCATTACTGAATTTCACACCAAATTTAGCTTATGCACGTTTCTAAAATGGCATCCCAACAACTATTAGCACTTGTGTACAAACAGTCATATACAGACATTCTAATTACAAACTGTCATCTACAAAAACTAAAATAAATAAGACGACATAAAATCTGAAATACCAATAAAAGTAACTTTCAAAATACAAAATCAAGTTGAAAGTAGAATTCCACAAGCAATGTTAATGCATACTAGAGCCTAACGAGATACAACATGAGCAGATAAGAAACTGTGCATTTGCAACACAATGAGTTAATCACGACTGTAATTATTTTCCCTCAGTATTAGGACAACATGCTCAGTAACTGGAGGATGCAAGCTTAAAGGTTTTAGCCAGAGTGCTGTACAATTGTCAGGCGACCAGAATAATTAGACCAGTCTGATACAATTCAGTGTTTATCCAGGTTAACAATTTTGTCCTCAGTGTTTCCCATTCAAAGTAATTTGAATGGACCAGCAGGGTACAACATGAATTATACAGGCCCGTGATAACAGGTCTTCAAACTCCAAACACATTTAAGTATAGATACAATTCATAAAAAATAAATCCTAATTGTTGTATTTTCCTTACTGTCTTTTTTTAAAACAGTTGGGAAAAATAGAGAAACAATTCCTTAGAAGATCTAAGAACCAACTACTCACTCCTTGGTATATTTATAAAAAAAACTTGGCTTAGCCAAGGAAGGAAGATGCTCAAACACACTGAATTTACATGCAGATGAAAGACAGTAATTGCCATTATCTGCAGTTAAGGATGCAACATGACAAGTATATGGCAGTACTGTACAGATGATAGAAGGGCAATGATACCCAGAGAAGAAATAGTTTAAATTAGCACACAATTAATACTGGATGGAAGAGTTAATACTGCAGCTATGAAAAGAGGTTTCTGCACTTTAAGATCCAAGCAGGTTTGTCCAAAAATATTACTTCCCATCTTGCCAACTTAAAAACAAATGAATAGGAGAAAAAGGCAGAATTTCTCTCACTCTGTGAGAATGCGGAGCACCTATACATGAAAATCCTTTTGCTACAGAAGATGAACAAAAAAAACGTATATTTTGAAAAGTTCTGTGGGAAAACTATAGTTCTTAACAGTTACAAGGAGAGGTTGAAATGAAATCAGGGTTTGTTTTAAACACTGTTTCCAGACTTCTAGAATTTCAACAACTATATTTTGTTTTGTGGTATCTATCGATCAACTTGAAAAGGTTTCTAAAGAGAGTGTGCCGTAAAATCATTGAACTGAACATTGGATTGTTGGGAGTTTTAATGTGCCCTTTCACATGCTGCTTTTAAAAACTTCAACTTTCAGTGGCTAAGGAATAATTACATTGTATAAAAGTGAGAACATGGAGAATATTAAAAATAATTTTAAAAACCCAAAACACATTTCATCAGGCTGTATCAGAAGAAGAGTCAAAAGAACCAGAGATGATGAAATTGCTTGTGTTGTTGAGACCTGACATTGATTGGGCAGCCTGCTGGCTGAGATTGTTGCATATTAGTACCAGCTGGTTGCTTTGTGCCTCAGACAGAGAGCTGCAGCTCTGGTAAACACTAAAGTTAGTCTTTCTCCCTGGAATATTCCCCTTTTCGCACATGGTTTTAACCATTTTCGAGAGTTTATTCTTTCCAAGGGATTGGCTATTGTACCAGTAAAGTGCAGCCAGGTTGCAGACTGGCTTGATGGACAGATAGAAGGGGGCATCTTCATAACGCATAGCTGGAGGGCGTCTTTGAGCGTACTCCTTGTAGTCCTGTACTGGACATGTCTGTGGAGAATGTGGCGTGGCATAAATTCTGCACTCTGTTCCTGCTCTCCGGCTCTTCCCTTGTGCATCGGAGCTGTCTATGATTTCCCACTCCAAGTACTCCAAGCCTGTCTCTGTTACGTGCAACCTGATATCCCCCCATTTCAGCGTGGAACTGTGGAAACCAGCACAATGCCCAAATGCCTTAGTGTTGTTTAGCCACACAAGATTGAGCAGCCCCTCAGGATTGTACCGACTCAGCAAGCCTCGTTTACGTAGAATAAGCTCATCAGCAAAGGTGAGTTTCATTGACTTGTGAGGCTTGTTCCCTTTCCCTTTGCCTCTCAGCTCAAGCTGCTTCTGTTTCAGTGCTTCTTGAGAGCGCCTGAATTCCTTATCCCTTGTTATACTGAACCCATATTTGTATTCCTTTAAGTACCTTTCAAGTCCACACTGATAGTTGGCCAAACTGTTGGGTTCGTACTCTGAGCCATCTTTTTGCCTGGCATCCACAAAGAATGAAGCTAGGTAGGCATCAAGTTCGGTGCATGGTATAATTTGGATTTCCCGGTTTTCATGTGGGTATTTGGAAAGGAGGAACTCTTTGAAATTTCTCAATGCAGTCAAGGTGCTTCGCACTGTTTTCTCATTCTGTTGACCTTCGCAGCCTCTTTCTTCATTTTCTAAGATGGAGGACAAAGAAAAGATATATAAGCCACACATAAAGTCATTCAAAGCTAAATTTCAATTTCGCAAAGGTCATTGGAAAACGATATTACATACCTGTCTCAGGTTTCAAAAGCCAACTTCAATTTCACAAATGATGTAAAAGATTAAGGCAAAAGAAAATATCAAAACCAGGTCATCATGTTAAAGCTGCACTCTTGGTGCAGTGGAGTTAGTGAGTGAGATTAGAGATCAAGCACAGACCGTCTCAGAACAAAGACAGCAAGCCAACACCCCTCAATATTATACTGCTGTAAAATGTCTAATACTCTATGTCTACAATTAGGTGTTGAAAGCAGTGCAATAGTAGACAGGTTTCTCAAATACAGATGCAACAAAATAACATACAAGCTATCTACATTATCAAGACCTAGTTAGCCAATGGAGAAATTTAATGAAATACCGCCTGAAAATTAAAAGTACGTCCTTTGTGGCTTATATAAGTTAAGTGATGACACCTGGAATTGCAGAAATGGTATAGCATACCAGGAATGATCCTCATTCTTTTTGCCAAGTAACTAAATAATCAATGCTGTATCTGGGTTTGACCTGGGTTGAATGATGGAAAGTACTCTGCAGTATAAATACTTTATATTTCTCCAACCTATGCAGTAAGCAGAACAAGTACTTTGACCTATATAAGACTAGGATGAAATATTGATAGTTGCATGTCGGTCACTGCTGGAGAGAACTGTTTCAGCGATGCATTGATAACAGACAAAAATATGAAATGTTTAGATTCAAGTGTACCTGGCATGTGTGCTATTTTCTCTCAAACTAGCACTTGCCCGCCAAACAAATTTGATTGACAACACAAACCTGGCTTGCCATACATTATACGTTTCTGTAGACTATTAACAAAGCATTAAAAAAGGTCACTTTCGCAGATGCATACACTTATCCACATATTATAAGCACTGTACTTGTACCACGACGAAGAAAGTAAATTTGTGAAATGTAATTTTATAATACACATCACAAATGGCAAGATTTAACTACTGGGCCCTGAGCCTATATGTACCAGAGAGACTGAATAATACCCCTAAATTGAATGACTTCTAATCAAGCAACTTTTTGCTTTCTATTTTTTATATCTTGAAGTGCTCTTAAACACAAGTGAACTGCTTCTTTTCCTGTCACCAAATCATCCATGGTATTTTTTCATTGATTAACCATCACCAGTAAATCATCCACGTATTCTGATTACTTAATTTACCTGTTAAGGGCCAATACAGACCACAAAGGTGAGGGAGAGGTAGGGAGAGAAGGAAAGGACTAAATCAAAATGGAGTTGGAAGGGGAAATCACACAACTTTCAGCCATTTAATTGAGTAGTAGCACCTAACATGTGGAAATCAAGGTGCATGTCTAAACTGTGCCAATAGGGTTAGCTCATCTCTTGTTTCTGAGCCATAGAGGGGCACTTGATCTTTTGGAGTTTTTGTAATCTATTTGCTTTGCTCCAGCTGGTGTAAAAAGACAAGTGAGTAACTGTACATTGTGTGTATTTATTAACAAAGTAGAAGGAGCCTTTGGACTGAAAAGTAGGCAATACAATTAGACACATTGAGATACAGGGGTCAGAGCTTGTGGGAGGTGTGGAGGAGGAGTTGGGGGGGATGTTAACGAAGAGAGCAGAATAAAAGATTTGAGGGCAAGAGCTGATAGAAGCAAGAAAATATTTTTTACAATATTGTGACAAACACAGCAGTGGATCCGACCAGATGGTTGCAGTATTGAGTCATTATAGCTACCTGGTTTTGAATCCTGTTAAAACGTGGACTAGGTTTAATTGGTTCACAAGTCGCATACAAAGTCATATGACAAAAACATCGTTGTTTCTTTCTCTTGTACTGCTTTGTGGCATTGGTTTTGTCTCCAATACAGTACAAATAAATTCAAAACCAGACTCACTCTCAGAAATGAAGGCAGCCAACTATTAAATTCACATGAAAATATCTTATACATTTGACTGGTAACCTTTTTCGAAAGTAAATGTTAAATACTGGGATTACAGTAACAAGAAGATCTTCTTAAAGAATGAGCAATCTAAAGGATAAGGGGAATTTAAAGTCAATTCATGAAACAAATCTGGTAGTCAAGCAAAAATTAGCATCAGTGACCGTGACCGACAACTGGATGGTCTCAAAAGCCCGTCTTGTTCAACAAATGCAAATCTGTTGTCCTTACTTGACTTGGCTGATGTGACTCCAGACCCACAACCTTGAAAACCGTCTTCAACAACCTCTTCACCGTCCTTTAAGATGGTGTAGTAAGCCATTCAGATTTATAGAGAGTGGCCACATAATGAATGAAGGAGTCTTTGGATGCTCAGCAACAATATAAAGTTAGTCCTCACTTTACAGCACACCAATTAAGTGTATTCCATTTCCATATTGGCTAACGTTTAAGACCTGTTCCCTTAAAATGCACCTTTGTTTTCAAGTTAATAATGTTTTGCATGACACCATATCAGGCCTGGCAGACAGAAAAGCATACAGAAAGGCAGAGAGAAAGAGTCGAAAAGGCAGGGTGAGATGTAGGGTGTGACTCAGACAGCAGTCATTAACGTCTGCACTCAAGACAGAAAGGAGACTTGTGACAGCGGTCTAATTTTAACTTGTACAATATTTCTGTTACATGTAGCGTATTATTTTAGTTTGCAAGTTATTTCAGTTAGGAACACATAGCGCTGCACCTACTTCAAACTGAGATTACAATGCAGCATTTGAACTTGTACGTTGGTTTCCCCAGGCAAGAAAATGTCTGAGGGACCTAACTCCAGATTTAATAGAGTCTGCCATAGGAATCAATGATTCTCTTAAAGTTATTTTGTTTAAAGTACTGTTTTCCTGGGACATAATTTGAATTTGAAGTATATCACATATGATCTCTTGGGAAGCTTTAAGAAAGTAATCGTGTTTTGTTTAATTGAGCTATGCCCCCAGTTTTTAGCATTTCTTCAGAAAGAAAGGTGAGCAATCAAGTGAAAAGGATATTTTTATTTGAATTGAATAAGTTGGCCACCACCCCCCATTTCTGAGGGCAAATCTGGTTTTTAATGCAACGTAGTATAGCAGACATTATGATTCTACCCTCTGTCACGGTGTAACTGACCCTGTACCCACTGTACACCTACACTGTTACTTATCATTGAAAACACAGTGCTATCTCTGACTCCAGCATCGGCAGTTCTTACTATCTGTTAATTCTCATTCATTTAATTACTGTTTAATGAAACATTTCAGCAGGTTATAGGCTACCCAACAGAATAGAGAAGTATTTATTTCACTCCTTCTTGAACATGAGCAAATTAATGCCAAGAACACGTAATGTAACAAACTAGCCAAAATGCCATGACAAGCGTTTTATGTTTAATCTCGGAGATCCTGAACCACAAAAACATTCCTAGACTTTAAACCTAGAACAGAATAGTGAAACAGCTGGAGAAAATTGTACTCCCCAGGCACAGGGGTGGCACAGTGGTTAGCACTGCTGCCTCACAGTGCCAGGGATTCAGGTTTGATTCCAGCCTCAGGTGACTGTCTATGTGGTTTTCTGCCGGGTGCTCTAGTTTCCTCCCACAGTCCAAAGATGCACAAGTTAGTATCATATTTGGAAAATCTGCAAATTAAACCAATAGCTTGTACCCGTCAAACTGTATAGAAGAAACAAGATTGTATGGGAATGCAGAGGCTAAAACTCATTGGATAATTAGTGAAAGAAAGAGGGACTTCTGGCCCATTATAACTTATCACCCAGAAATGTTCTAAAGTGCCTCCAGGCTGATCCACGGGACTGTTAAACAATTCCAGGAAATTTTAAAAATGTCCACTTCTTCATTCGGAAATCCATCCCATACGGTAGGAGCTACTGCTTGCTGAACTACTAATAAGTCTATGCCTTGAGGAGATGAGAAAAGGGAACTGGAAGAGAAAGTAGCGAGTTAAAACAATCACAGTGCATTAAAAATGTTCAAGAACACTGGAGCTGGTTTTGCACTTCAATTTAGTGCTAACACGAGTTGTCTGGAGAATTGGATAAACCAGAGTTCCCATGAGAAAACCAACCCAGGCATTGGGTATAGTCGGTTTGCCCCAGCACTCCAGAAAAGTGATGTTAACCTATGCAGCTCAGTGCTTCTTTTATAAAAAAAGAAACATTTTCAGGAGGTGGGCATTTCTAGCGAGACCATAATTTACTCACCATCCCTAAATGCCCTTGAGGTGAGGGAAATGTTGAGCTGCCACACTGAACAGCTGAAAACTGAGGGGTTTAGGAACACCCACAATGCCATTATAAGAAGGGAGTTGCAGAATTTTGACCCAATAATTGCCAATGTTAGAAACGCAGTTCCCTTTAAGATTGGCATCTGGACAGGGAAAGTATCCAGGAATTGGAATTGGCATTTGTGCTAAACTACAGATTTGCAATAGAATTCTTGCAAATCTCAGAATATCTTTTGCTGCCAAATTCAACATATGACTATTGGTCTGTTAAGCAGCAACAGTGAAGGAACAACAAAGTAGTCCTAATTCAGGACAGTGTGCGCCTTAGAGGAGGAGCTGCAAATGATGGCATTTCCAAGAATCTACTGCCATTACAAAGAAAAATTGCTGGAGAAACTTAGCAGGTCTGGCAGCATCTGTGAAGGGAAAGCAGAGTCAATGTTTCAGGTCCAGTGACCCTTTATCCGAATGGATGTTTCAACTGGTCTTGTCCTTTTAGATGATATGGGTTTGTAATGGATTTGGAAGATGACGTCAGAAAAATCTTGGTGAGCTCTTGCAGTGCGTCTGGTTGATGGTACACAGTGATGTGACTGTGAATTGGTAGCTGAGGGAGGGGATGGAGTGTCAACTGAGTGAGCAGCTTTGTCCTGAATGGTATTGAGCTTTCAGAGTGCTGTTAGAGCTGTGCACATCCAGGGAAGTGGATGACATGTGACTTATTTATG